ATTTAAACTGAATATCTACCATAATTCCCGATGTATAATACGCATTTTTTCTAAAAAAAAATAATAAGCAAAATCAGGGGTGCGTATTATGCACAGCTACAAAAAACTCTTTAAAAATGGGGTAAAACAAAATAAGAATTATCATAAAACTAAATTAGAATAATATTATTCTGTTTAAAACCATTTTTTTTAATTAAGATTAGGAAACGGTGGTTGTAATGAAATTGGAGTGGTACAATTTATAGGGTTTGATTACCAAACATGGGGTAATCTCACACTGTCACTACAATTTTAGGTGTGCGTATTATGGATGAATGCGTATTATACATGGGGAATTGCGATGTCTATTTTTATTGAATGCAGAATTTTAGATGAAAAAAATATTATATTTGAAATTCGACTATCTTGCTACAGCGAAGCGAGATGTACTCAACGAGTCTTTTTTTTAAATAAAATAACTTCTGAAAAATACGAAATATTTTGCTTGAATATAATAATGAGTCATATGAATAATACAGATGTGAACAGACTGGACGAGATCAATACACTGAAATAGAGAGAAAAATAAAGATTTTCGTTGAATACATCTCTATAAAGCCTGTTACAAAGCAACATCCTTGCGCGACTTCGTCTTCTTGTTAAAATGTTTTAGACTAACTGCAGGTTGACAGTTCAGTTGAATTAAGCAAGTCCGTGTACTGGCGATATCGACGGCGTTGATCGATTCAAGACTTGTCCATAGCAATCTCGAGAGTAAATCGATGGCTCTGGACAATGGTTAATTTCATCTTAACCAACCTGGCAATTGCTTGGACGTTAATGCACTATATTAGATGAAGAGTTTATCATACGTGTAATAATTTCTCCAAGGTAATTTATCAGCCGTTTTCATGATTGAGTTAATCGTAAGACATCGTTAGAGAACCTGCTCAAGGCTTAGTATATATTAAGCACAATATATCTTGTAGTTATTAATAGGGAATAATACATAATAATTTTGTTAATCTAATAATATATTATTACTGCAACTTTTTCTAATTACTAGGTTTTCGCTTATTGAATTTATGATTAATAAATATTTAAACGGTTTCAAGTGTGCATTACGTTTGATTCCTAATTTCAAAGCAATGGTGAAGCCTTCTTAAGGTATATATACACGATCATACAAACAAATACTCACAAATACACATATATTTTTCTAATAGGCCTGTTGTAAATTTCATGTCGCGTATATGGAAATGTGTTTTTTATATCAATTACCATAAATAATTTCATATATGCTGTATCCTTAAAAAGGATACAAACACACAAAGGCGGTACTCGAGTGAATTAAGAGCAACACGCAGTGACACAGGAGGCTAACTCATCTGCAGAAGTCTGTTTGAATCTTCTCTTGATAGAAGAGAGGTTTATTGTAAAAGAAAATACATTACTTAAAGACAGGAAATCGGGTGGCAGGCAAGTAATTCTCGAAGCAAGCCCCCAGGAATATCCCCTGCTCACTATATATAGCTACTGATATAGTCAGTCAACATAGGCGATAGGGGGTATGGAACATTCCATTACAACACCTACTCCTTAGCTAATTTTCCCATGAAATTTTGCTCAATACCACTTCTTTTTGGGGTTACGACATAATTGTTTGATTTTTTCCTCTTCCTTGTAGTTTTCCGTCTCGCCAATATGCAACACTGAACCCCCCATGCTTCCAGATTTCAGGTGGGATTATATCAACTCCTACTGCCTTGCCACACTTCAGCTGCTTTATGGCTTATGAAATCTGGTGGTGGGTAACTCATCCATTTCCGTTTTTAATGGTTGTTGGGGTATGTGGAAAATTACTGGTTCCTGGACCGAGCGATTAGCAGTGAAGAGGGCCTGGATATGCTCCGACCTTAAATAATACACATTTACCGAATGGGTATACGAAAATAAGTGAAATCAAAATACAATTTATTGCTGCCATATCAGGAATGGGATGTTCTGTCCTCACTTTCCAAAATAACCTGAAATTGTTTAAAAAATACGAAAATGATGCAATCAAAAAATACAATGATGTATTGCTGCCATATCAGGACTGGAGATGTTCTGTCCTCACTTTCCATCCATAATAGACCTCCAAATTGTTTAAACTGTATTAATACGAAAATAAGTGCAATCAAAATACAATGATGTATTGCTGCCATATCAGGACTGGAGATGTTCTGTCCTCACTTTCCATCCATAATAGACCTCCAAATTGTTTAAACTGTATTAATACGAAAATAAGTGCAATCAAAATACAATGATGTATTGCTGCCATATCAGGACTGGAGATGCTCTGTCCTCACTTTCCATCCATAATAGACCTCCAAATTGTTTAAACTGTATTAATACGAAAATAAGTGCAATCAAAATACAATGATGTATTGCTGCCATATCAGGACTGGAGATGCTCTGTCCTCCTTTCCATCCATAATAGACCTCCAAATTGTTTAAACTGTATTAATACGAAAATAAGTGCAATCAAAATACAATGATGTATTGCTGCCATATCAGGACTGGAGATGCTCTGTCCTCACTTTCCATCCATAATAGACCTCCAAATTGTTTAAACTGTATTAATACGAAAATAAGTGCAATCAAAATACAATGATGTATTGCTGCCATATCAGGACTGGAGATGCTCTGTCCTCACTTTCCATCCATAATAGACCTCCAAATTGTTTAAGCTGTATTATTACGAAAATAAGTGCAATCAAAATATAATGATGTATTGCTGCCATATCAGGACTGGAGATGCTCTGTCCTCACTTTCCATCCATAATAGACCTCCAAATTGTTTAAACTGTATTATTACGAAAATAAGTGCAATCAAAATATAATGATGTATTGCTGCCATATCAGGAATGGAGATGCTCTGTCCTCACTTTCCATCCATAATAGACCTCCAAATTGTTTAAGCTGTATTAATACGAAAATAAGTGCAATCAAAATACAATGATGTATTGCTGCCATATCAAAACTGGAGATGCTCTGTCCTCACTTTCCATCCATAATAGACCTCCAAATTGTTTAAACTGTATTAATACGAAAATAAGTGCAATCAAAATACAATGATGTATTGCTGCCATATCAGGACTGGAGATGCTCTGTCCTCACTTTCCATCCATAATAGACCTCCAAATTGTTTAAACTGTATTAATACGAAAATAAGTGCAATCAAAATATAATGATGTATTGCTGCCATATCAGGACTGGAGATGCTCTGTCCTCACTTTCCATCCATAATAGACCTCCAAATTGTTTAAACTGTATTAATACGAAAATAAGTGCAATCAAAATACAATGATGTATTGCTGCCATATCAGGACTGGAGATGCTCTGTCCTCACTTTCCATCCATAATAGACCTCCAAATTGTTTAAGCTGTATTATTACGAAAATAAGTGCAATCAAAATATAATGATGTATTGCTGCCATATCAGGAATGGAGATGCTCTGTCCTCACTTTCCATCCATAATAGACCTCCAAATTGTTTAAGCTGTATTAATACGAAAATAAGTGCAATCAAAATATAATGATGTATTGCTGCCATATCAGGAATGGAGATGCTCTGTCCTCACTTTCCATCCATAATAGACCTCCAAATTGTTTAAGCTGTATTATTACGAAAATAAGTGCAATCAAAATACAATGATGTATTGCTGCCATATCAGGACTGGAGATGCTCTGTCCTCACTTTCCATCCATAATAGACCTCCAAATTGTTTAAGCTGTATTAATACGAAAATAAGTGCAATCAAAATACAATGATGTATTGCTGCCATATCAGGAATGGAGATGCTCTGTCCTCACTTTCCATCCATAATAGACCTCCAAATTGTTTAAGCTGTATTAATACGAAAATAAGTGCAATCAAAATACAATGATGTATTGCTGCCATATCAGGACTGGAGATGCTCTGTCCTCACTTTCCATCCATAATAGACCTCCAAATTGTTTAAGCTGTATTATTACGAAAATAAGTGCAATCAAAAATATAATGATGTATTGCTGCCATATCAGGAATGGAGATGCTCTGTCCTCACTTTCCATCCATAATAGACCTCCAAATTGTTTAAGCTGTATTATTACGAAAATAAGTGCAATCAAAATATAATGATGTATTGCTGCCATATCAGGAATGGAGATGCTCTGTCCTCACTTTCCATCCATAATAGACCTCCAAATTGTTTAAACTGTATTAATACGAAAATAAGTGCAATCAAAATACAATGATGTATTGCTGCCATATCAGGAATGGAGATGCTCTGTCCTCACTTTCCATCCATAATAGACCTCCAAATTGTTTAAGCTGTATTAATACGAAAATAAGTGCAATCAAAATACAATGATGTATTGCTGCCATATCAGGAATGGAGATGCTCTGTCCTCACTTTCCATCCATAATAGACTTCCAAATTGTTTAAGCTGTATTATTACGAAAATAAGTGCAATCAAAATATAATGATGTATTGCTGCCATATCAGGAATGGAGATGCTCTGTCCTCACTTTCCATCCATAATAGACCTCCAAATTGTTTAAGCTGTATTAATACGAAAATAAGTGCAATCAAAATACAATGATGTATTGCTGCCATATCAGGACTGGAGATGCTCTGTCCTCACTTTCCATCCATAATAGACCTCCAAATTGTTTAAACTGTATTAATACGAAAATAAGTGCAATCAAAATACAATGATGTATTGCTGCCATATCAGAGCTGGAGATGCTCTGTCCTCACTTTCCATCCATAATAGACCTCCAAATTGTTTAAGCTGTATTATTACGAAAATAAGTGCAATCAAAATATAATGATGTATTGCTGCCATATCAGGGCTGGAGATGCTCTGTCCTCACTTTCCATCCATAATAGACCTCCAAATTGTTTAAACTGTATTAATACGAAAATAAGTGCAATCAAAATACAATGATGTATTGCTGCCATATCGGAACTAGAGATGCTCAGTCCTCACTCACCAGTCTTAATAGACCGCTTCTTGTACAATCACCGAAGTTAAGCAACGTCGTGCCTGGTCAGTACCTAGATTGGTGACCGCTTGGGAATACCAGGTGCGGGTAAGCTTGAGTGTGCGGGTGGTGTAGCGGATTACAGATTGGAATTGAAAATTATCTGAATCATTTTTAAAATGTATCAGTAAAACATTATTATCTAAAAAAATATTCCAACAGTTTAAAAATTATTTTCTGCGTATAAATAACTAACTAATAACTAAAAGGGTTGATTAGCCGTAAAGAACAAATCAGTAAAACCGATATTGGTGAGGCATTCCTTCCTAACCTTTTGTTTGAATTAGTGGGGAAAGTCAATATCTTAAAAAAATTGACCTTTAAACATAAACGAATGTTATTCCGCTCGTCGTCACATTTTTCTTATTTTTTTTTTTTGTTTGTTGGGCGGCATAGCAACATATTATGGGTCATTTAATGCTGAAACTTAATTTCCTTGGGATCTTTGGAGTAATAAAGTAATATATATGTTATTCGCAATTATATACATGGTATATGATACTCAGCTTTTGTGCATATACCTGTTTCTATGGACATAATTACTAGAGGCGGTGGTATGTTTATTAGATTTCATTAAGAAATTGTTGGATATTATATGGATTAATGTCTTGAAAGAATTCTTTCATGCGGTTGATTTTGTTTAGAGGCATATTAAAATCTATGGTTTTATTTAATACCGAACTCTAAATATTTTTAACACAAGTTTATGGCTTCAACTAAATATATTTTGGACGCAACTGTATGCTTTCAGCTACATAAAAAAAATGTATCGTTGGTCATTTTGCTATAGATGTTTGTTGGCAATTCTACTATAAAATGTATTGTTAGTCATTTTACTTTAAAATATATTGTTGGTAATTTTGCTATAAATATGTATTGGTAATATCTTCACCAAAAACATGTATTGTTAGTAATTTTTTTATGAATATATATTGACAGTAATTTCATTATACAAAAACGCATTGCTGGTATTTTTACAACAAATATGAACTTCCACACTTTCATCGTATTTAGTTTTTGCTTGAGGGTTCATTATTTGCTCATAGCTCGGATCCTAAGAGGTGCTACCAACCCGGGGTCATGGTGTACCTGAGAAAAACAGCAATTAAGAAATGGTTACACGCTCTTCAAAACCGCCAATCTCCAAATCAGAAGTCTTGCTGTCGGATGTAGTTTATTATTATAGTTATTTCCCCATTCATCTTAACCAAAGTGCTTCAGAATCAATACAGAGGCCTACATCAATTCCTTGAGCAGGTATTGCTGCCCTGGGTCAATAGAGTAGCTTCTGGAAGATTCTATGTCTGTCAACAGGAATCTGCACTATGCTAAATAAGAAGGAGAATCCAGTTATGGCTGTTAGACAGTTTCTTTGACCACATCACCCCTTAGATTTGGTCACCTAACTTCTTTGTGTGGGGTGCAGTTGAGCGACATACCAACAAAACACCTGGTAACACCAAAGATGAACAGAAGGCAAGGATCATGGCAGCATTCACCAACAAGGAGACCGATCAGAAGAATCTCCGAAAGTCGTCTGGAGGCGGTGCTTAAAGCCAATGGCAATTTCATTGAATAAATGTACTCTTTATTTAGAAACATTTTTTGTGTAATTTTGGTAAATATATCTGTTAAAATGAGATGTCAGTGTTATTTTGCGTAAATTTGACAATTTATCCATCGCACGCTGTATGTTGGCTAAATGTATGGAAAGTCACGAAAAAGATGCCATTTACATTTTGGCATCAAATATGATTAAAATAGGAACAAATGTACATTATTTTTATTCCAGAATCAATCTCACTTCTCTCGAACAACATATACTGAACTAAGAACTTTAATATCTATCTCTCTACCTATCTGAATGTAATGAGAACAAAAATAACATATCAATTCTAAGCATTAATTCAAAAAGTGCTCAATACCGCTATAAGAAAAATAATTATTTATTATATTTTTTTTTAATATATACAAAAAAAAATTACACACGACAAAAATGCAACTTCGTTTCATTTAGTTGCACTTCGACTGATGAGAACCAAAATTGTTATGCACCGAAACGAAGTTGCATTTTGTCGTGAGTAAATTGTTTTTTGTGCATATGAAAAATTTGTAATAAATATCTATCTATCTATATATATTTCTAAATCTACTCCTAACTTCCTTTCTTCTTTTCTATCTATCGCAGTTTCTTCATATCTACCATTTATTGAATCTTGTCTCATTGCCCCTAATACTGAGTAGCGAGGTAACCCAAAGAAATTGCAACATTAAATAAACGGACAAGGATTAACATGTAAAGTTTATCAACCTAAATTATGTATGTATGTAAGTATGTATGTATGTATGTAAGTATGTATGTATGTATGTATCTATCTGAGTAGAGTCTTACAGTAAATTACTCACAACCACAAACAAACAAACACACACACACACACACACACATATATATATATATATATATATATATATATATATATATATATATATATATATATTATCTTGTCAAGGTTTTGCATTCACATTATTATTTTTTTTAATTATTCTTATTGCTTTCCAGAAATAAAACAGAAATCACGTGTTTTATTTGTTTGTTTTTTTTTTTATAGCTGTCGGTTGATTGTTTAGCATTTGTATTTCCGTGCAGAAGAAGACAGAAATCAATGAAAAGCTTTTTTATTTAATCATTTGTGGAGTATGGAATTATTAAGGAACCTGCAAAACAAAAAGAATTATCATATTAAAAGATTAATAATTTGAAAAGCAAATGTTAACATGACTTCCCAAAATCTAAATGCTACTTATGATTCAACCCACATATATGTGTGTGTATATGTGTTTGTTTGTGTGTGTGTTTGTACATACATACATACATACATACATACATATATATATATATATATACATATATATATATATTGGAATGTAATTATTTTACAATAAAATCGGTATTATCCAAAAAAATCTGATTTCATTTTAATTTACTTTTATATTTTTGAGTCGATTCATATCTATCTATCTATCTATCTATCTATCTATCTATCTATCTATCTATCTATCTATCCTAGTCTCTTCATATCTATCTATGTATCCTAGCCTCTTCATATCTATCTATTTATCACAGTCTCTTCATACCTTAGACTGACTTGTTTCCCTTATTAATGATTAGTTTATACGACCGTAGCTAAATGCACCACATATAAATCATTATAACATAACTGATGAAGAGCTGACATGATATATATATATATATATATATATATATATATATATATATATATATATATATAGAGAGAGAGAGAGAGAGAGAGAGAGAGAGAGAGAGGGAGGAGGAAGGAGAGAGAGACTTATATCATATTTTATTATGATAGACAATTTTTTTCAAGATAAATTTAAAAGAAATGAAAATTTCACGGTTCTCCTGTTTTAACTTTCTAATGAAATTAATGAGCTTATGTCGTGTTCTACGATAATAAGATATCCGAAAAATTCACCAGTCGCATCGTTAAATATTTGAGCTTAACAACTTTAACAAAATATTCCAATAACAATCATAAATATGGATGGTGGACGTTATTTCAAGAAGTCAAATGAAAAGATTTGAATTTAAGAACATTTTACAACTTCATTGAAAGAAATGTTAAACACTTCTATCTTACCTTTTGCTTTTCATTTATTTTTCACTGAAAACAAGTAGTGTCTCTGATATGTCTTTTCCGTCCTCTAACTAAGGACGGGACAAGCATATTTATAATAAGATTATACGCACGCACGCACACACACACACACACACACACACATATATATATATATATATATATATATATATAAAGAATTTTTTTATATCTTTCTGAGTCTATTCATATCTTTCTATTTCTAAAAGAATGATACATTTTTTTTTATCAGGCCGATTTTATTATTTAAACGTTATCTTTAGTGGATGTCCGCATTTGGGTAGACGCTCCGTTTATTTATTAAGCAGTATATTTAATTATTTTCGCCTACCGGCCTGAATATTCGATAGATCTTATTAAAGAAAAATATGCACTCTCCGGTAGGATTCAAACCTGAGCTCCCCTGGGAAAGGGAATCCGTCATTTGATCCGATGACCTTTAGACCACCTCGGCTACGAATTGTGCCAAAGTTGAATAGTGACTTATATGCACAAATCTTTTCCAGACTCTTAAAATATACATATCTCTTCCGTTTCGTATCCTAACGTAAAAAAATCACTTTCTAAAGACGTATGGTGTTTTATTTATTAAACTGACAGACTTTAAAACTTAAACTTTATTTTAATGGATGCATATATTTGAATAGACGCTCCATTCATTAATTAAACAGTATATTTATTTATTTTCGGAGAGTGAATCTTTTTTAAAGATTTCTCGAATATCCAAGCCGGATTAGTAGCGCATCTTCCAAAAATGGCGGGTTTATCTGAACTAAAATTCAGTATGTGATAAGGCTTGCTTATACCATCGTTGCAGGATGCAAATATGAGACTGTATTCAATCTGCAATCATGTTCATAGATAAGAGAAAAAAAAAAACAAGATTGATCGTCATGATACATACATTTCCCAGAGTTTTCAAGATATCGGCTGCTCGTCAATTTTCCAAATCGGGATGGTTTGCCTGCTGACCTGGAATATTGACATTCAAAAAGCATCAGGTCGATTGCTGAGCTTATGCGCTGACGAGAGAAGCTATCAGAGAATTTCATAAACATATATCACAAAGAGATTGGTGGAATTGGAATTCTTTAAAATTAATCGATAACACCCAGACTAGAACATTACTAAAATCAGATAGAATACTGAAGAAAGTGCAAGAATTATTAAATAAAGCTAAACATGCCTTTTGTTTAATGTTATTCATTGTATTCAAGGATGACTGTTACATATGCATTGCAATGTTTTGTTTTGTTTTTTTCAAATATTCTAATATTTGCATTGCTTTATGCAGAATTGGAGTTTTGAGGAATTTTCTTTCTGACTTTATGGAATTTTCAAACAGTCATCATCTATGTTTATAATATTGATATGTCCCGGAAAGGGATATATTTGTTCGAAGTAGCAATGTGGTTGTTGACTACTGTAACCGGGTAGGACAATCTAGCAGGTAACCGTAATGGACTGGTCCTCGTCGTAGTGGTAGGCAATAGGCGTAGGCAATAGGCGAAGACAATAGGCGTCGTCTGTACCTCCACATCAGCCTGTATTTATGGCTGACACCAGCCAATCATATTACTGTGAGGGGGAATATCCATTACTCAAATATTTAGCCTGCCCTATATACAGAAAACTGAGAAAGTTAATCAAGTATTGGATAACTATTATTTATAATGAACCTTTCATAAACCTTACAGGATTTATCTATTTTCTATTTTTGTGTTTCTTTGCTTGATTTAAATAGATTAATAATAAAGATAAGATATTCAAAAATATCTTGATATTGTATGGCCATAAATAAAAGAACGACAAACACTGGAATTATAAACTACGTAAAAATAAAATAAAAAGAGTTAATTCACTTGTCACTTAATATAAAAGCCACATAGAAATTATCAAAGACAATTAATCATCATCTTTTTTTACGCGACGAACATTTTAAAAGAGAAACATGATATGTTATAACTTCAGGTCAAAACAATTCAAAATATTTATAACAAAGCATACATAGATAAAACCTAGGACAAATTGTACCTACAGCCTAAATGGAGCTCGTTTGGTGATACCGTTACATATTGACACAGTACACCGACATCATTTCTGAATAACTGGAATTACAATATATATATATATATATATATATATATATATATATATATATATATATATATATAGAGAGAGAGAGAGAGAGAGAGAGAATAATAAAGCCAGATAGAAACTATCAAAGACAACTAGTCATGGTTATGTTTAAGCAGAGGGCATCTAAAAAGCGAAACATGACATGTTACGAATTTCATCTCGGAAAGATAAACAGTAGAAATGGCGTTTGATATATTTTCTGTCCAATTTTGTGGAAGTTGCGAACAGTCATTAATATTTATTTTGATAATTATTTTCCATGCCACATATTCATGAAACTGTGACAAGCTGTTAATCATTCACTAGTAGAGTTATTTAATAAAACTTTCTAAAAATATACATCATCTTTCTATTGCATATATTTTCTGCTTCTTTGTTGATTTTAAAGATAAACATGGTGTCCCCCAAAAATTGAGATTATTTAAGATGTGAATATCTGGGTAACTGCATATCCCATGCAAACAAAATTAAATAGGTGTCATGCTGAACAATAAAAGATTTATTTATCAAAATTCGAATAGGATTTTTAATCCTTAATTTCACTAAGCTTCATGATGTTCATTATGTGCACCAACTGTTACACAACGCACGTCAAGTTGGTAGTCCAGCTCCTGCTGAACACGCTGTAGCATGCCTTGCATAACATTCTTCAGCATCTCAGTGATTCTCTGTTTCAGTTCCTTTAGGCTTGTAGGAAGAGGGGGATATAGACCTGTCCTTTCACATAGCTTCATAGAAAAAAAAATCACAAGGTGTCAAGTCAGCTGAAAGTGGTGGTTTTTATCACTGGCATACCGATTCATCTTTCTGGTAGATTCTCATTGGGATAAGCCCGCACGGTCAAATTAGTTTTTACTCATTTTGTTAAAATTTGAAATCATTTGAACGAGAATTGGCTGTTATAAGACTACAATATGATGTCAATTTTTTTTTTTTTTTTTGGTGGGGGGGGGCACCGTGTATAATATTATGTCAAATATAATAACAAAACCTCTTGAGTGTTCGCGTCAAGAGATAGATCAATTAGACGACTACGAACAGAAAAGTTTAGGAAAAGATTCACGAAGAAGGATAGAAATGAAAAAGGAAACTGCCAAAAGAATGAAAGCTGAATGAGAATGATTTTGAGACACTGGGGTTGAATGTTTTTCTCCGTATTTACGATCAAGTAACAAAAGCAAATATTTCAATATCTCTGCTAATTTCTTGACACCTCCTGTGCATCAGTTAAACCCGTTAGAGCTGTAAAGTCACAAGAAATATACATTCATCAAACCAATGACAACAACAGGCTGAAGCTATATATCATTCTTTAGCTGTTGTTCGAGCGTAGAAAAGAAAATATCAATCCAGGAATTGTTTTAACAGAGAACGCGAAAAGGCGACATCGAAATCACAATGTGTATTCAAATAATCAAAGATGACTTTCAAAAGCTAAGCAAAGTATTAAGAAACAGGGAAAATGAATTCGAAAAAAAATGCGATATCAGTTCTCTTATATGCTGGATAATCTATTCATAGGCGAAGAGAGAAGTGGGAATAGAAACATGATTCTACAGAAGGATGTTAAGAATACTATGGACTCAGTATGTGAGCAAGTAGGAACTTTTAGTAACAAGGGAAATAAAAAACACATTCGCAGAATTAATTACTATGGAAACGGTGGGGTGACCATTTTGATAAGGGGCCTAAGAGTTAAGTTTTATCCGCATATCAGTCACCTTCGGAAAGAGATCAAACCCAGGTAGGGTCTGGATGCCCATTTCAAAACGAATGATGGCATTCATGTACCATGTACGCACATCGTCTGGTTAGTCACAGCGAAAGATAGCTTTTGGTAACATAACATGAGGCCCCTTATCAAAATCTCTCTCTCTCTCTCTCTCTCTCTCTCTCTCTCTCTCTCTCTCTCTATATATATATATATATATATATATATATATATTGTTGGCCGAGGAGAGAAATCCGAAATAATAATAATAATTATTATTATGATGATGATGATGATTATTATTATTATTATTAGGTTATTAGACGAAAGAGAAGCCTAAGAAAAATGTTAAAAATCAGAATTTTCAGACACGCTTTTATTAAGACTCGTGAAAAATAGTGAACGGATTATCTCAGTTAGTCTATATATTTATGGCCAAAATGTGGGATGTAGAGTCATATTTTTATGATTGCTCAACCCACTTCCTCTGGTGGATGTGGGAATTTCGTGTTCATAAATGTGTGTGAATGCGTGAGTAATAGTCTTCGTGTATTTGTACGTGCTTTATATTGCTAATTAAATCTAGGGCATTTTGATTGTGGGTCACCTGTAAATTCTTTT